TAAAGTAAAGCATGCAAGTAATAAAAGTGAAATCAATAGGAGAGAAAGGCTAAGCAATAGGATAGTCTTAAGATAAGCAATTCAAGAAGCATGAAATCAATCAATTAGGGTTACCGCAATTAGGTGCTAATCTAGAACTTGAAACACTATGGTATGATCATTCCACTGTCGAGGCTCCGACCCCTTTGTTAATCTACCTAGTCGCTAAACTTTTGGTATGTCCCTAGGTGATTAAATCAAGCATTAGTTCGATAAGTTCAATTGTTCACAACCTACAAGTAAATCAACTTTCGCAGTCTAAAAGAGTTGCCCACCAAATACTAGTTCAGGCGAATGATACAGCACTGTCGAGGCTCAAATCAACCTAAAGGCATATGCTAATTGGCCAGATTAACAACAAGCATTAAGTATAAGCAAAGATGGAGATTATAAGTAAAACCCTAATTGTGATCAATCATCAAGCATACATGAATGCTATCCTTTGACTTCCTATCACTTAACAAGTAAACTACTCAGACATAGAGAAGGAACACGAATTCATATTCATAAGAACAGAGATTCGAATCCTCTCTAGAAAGAGAACAAGCAAGAACAAAGTAAAAGCAAGCAAAACTTTATTAAAGATGTAAAATAGATTGTGGTCTCTCTCCTTCTTGAGTTACAAGGCTAAAAAGAAGTATTTATAATGCTCTAAGTATGAAAGCGGCTAAACCTAATCTAGCTAGGTCGGCGCCGGCTTTGGGCTTGAATTGTGCGGATTGGGCTTCAAAAACGGCTTCGGGTCGACCGCGGCGTTCGGACGGTCGGTCGGGACGTCGGCCGGACAGTCGGGTCTTGGCCGAGTCGGAACGGTCGTGGCCGGATGATTTCACGGTCGGCCGGCGTGGTCGGCGGAGAAGATTTGGCCGATGGTTTCTCGGCCGGACGTGGGACGTTCTTCCCGGCTCGGACGGATGCATCGGCCGTGGTACGCGAGGGTTGCGCGGCCGCGAGGCTTGTTTCCCGGCTCGCGCGCATGGTCGTGCGCGGCGTGGCGTGACGGTTGTGGCTTGGCCGACCGCGGGACAATGTTTCCCGGGTCGTGTTGCGTGATCGGCCGGTTTGGACTTTGGCCGAGACTTCAGTCGGACGGATATTTGGCCGAGCGCGGAACATTCGTTCCTCGGCCAGCCGGACTGCGCGGTTGGGCGCTGATTCTCGATAGAGCCGTCTGGAGCAGTCTTCACTCTTTTGGCTATAACTCCTTTTCTACTCATCCAAATGAGCCATTCCAGTTGCGTTGGAAAGTTAACTCAATCAGAGCACGCAGGGAACTGGTCTTGATGAAATCCATTGAGTAGATCTTTTTCTAGCTCCATCCAAAGTTGATGCAGGGGCATTGAACTGGTTTAGAGTCCAAATCTCTGTTTTGCTCCATAATGCACCTTTTTACCTAAAATGACTCTTTGCACTATAAATCCATAAAAACTACCTTTTAACACAAGAATCCACTAGAAAACCATTAGAAAACCATAGTAAAATAGCATAAAAAGTAGGTAAAATAGAGGTATATCAACTCCCCCAGACTTAGATCTTTGCTTGTCCCCAAGCAAAAAGAATCTAAACTAGTGAAGAGGTTTTGAAAAACGTGGGAACTCTCTTGCTTCTTTGAAAATCCTGTGAAAGGTTCCTTTCCTGTATTCCACTAAGAACATAGTCAACATAAGGTTAGCTTCACATACACCCTGCAAGTTTAGCGAACAATACCAACCCAACTAGTCTCATCCAGCAATCCAAACTCTCTATTGCTAACCTCTTGCATAAATTTAAAGCGTGAGTTCTTTATCAAGGGAACATCGATCAATTGAACTTGTTCTTACCCACTTGATCTTCTCCAAGATTGTCTTTGAAGTGCAATGAGTTCTTTTCCTCTCTCTTTCTCACATCAGAACTTTGAAAGGTCAATTTCTCCCTACTTTTCTAGGGTATCATTTTATTTTTTCTATTGACCTTTCTTTCAACCACAGGATAAGTCTTTAGCTTGTTCCTTGTTTGATAAGGTATTCCATAAGACATGAAGGTACAGACATATGCATTCCTCATGCTTACTTGTTTTCCTTGTGCTCTTTGAGCTTTTCTCATAAACATTACTTACCATTTGGGATGGGAGAGAGAGGTGAACTCTTTAGACAAATCTCATTGAAAATCAAGCAAGGAACTGTCGACATGTATGCCAATCCCCTTGACAAGAGTTATTAAGATTGATTAAGGGTGAGGTTAACTCTAGATTGCTTGGTTACCTTAGAAATTTCGCTGAGCTAGCATGCGATCCACTCTAGGAGCTTCTGTTAGGCTTGTGCCTTCAGCTGATGTTTGCTCTAGGGTCATAGATTGTTAGCATGACACTATCAAATCTCAAAGCAAGTTCATTGTTCCCGGACTGGTTTTGACTCAATAAAACAGAAGTTTTGAAAAAGTGGGTTAGGAAAAACCAATTATAAGATCAAAACAACCATGAACAAACACATTAGTACCGACAATCCCCCCAGACTTAACTTGCACCGTCCCGGTGAAAGAAAATCCAATTAAGGGAGTTAAAGAAAGAGGTAATAAAGTGGTTGTGAATGTAAAAAGAAAGATGTAACCTGATTTGGTGTTACTTGAAGAATGGTGAATGCAGTGGAATGATGGTAGTGATGGAATGCAAGTGTGGTGAGGTGGGATGGGTGAGATGCAGATGGAATGAGATGGGATGGTGTGTTGGGCGGCTTGAGAGGACATGGGCGAGCGTGGAGAGGTTCTGCTCGGCCATCTAAGTCGCGCCAACTATGAACATTCTTCTTGTGGTATATCTTCTTTACCATTGTGTGGTTCTTAGATTCCTGTTCCAAAACTCAAAACAAAACTAGACATTAACTAAAACTAATTGAAAAGAAAAGTAAAGAAAAACACCTTTCATGGGTTGCCTCCCATGCAGCGCTTCTTTTGAGTCATTAGCTTGACTGATAGGATCTCTTAGTTGGAGATGGGGTAAGGGCACGGCCTGAGACATAGTCTTTTAGTTCTTGTCTCATTGTGACCTTGAGTGTGGTCTGGTGGCTCTCTTGGGCGGCCTTGGGCAGTGATGAGGTAAGACAGCTTGTTTGGTGAGATGAATGGTATGGTCTTGTAAAAGACTGTCTTGTCAACATTGGCTAAGGACATTCGCCGGTTTGGAAGGTCCATGACAGCTCCAGCAGTGGCCAAAAAGGGTCGGCCTAGTATCAATGGTGTGTCACATCCTCCTTGAATGTTTATGACATGAAAGTCCACCGGGATCTTGATATCTCCAATCTCTAGAAGAACATCAACAACAACTCCTCTTGGCTTGGCTATAGTATGGTTAGCAAGTCCAATACTAATTTGAGCAGGTTGCAAGCGTGTGATGCCAAGGAGTTTGGCGGTTTGGGTTGGCATGAGGTTTATGCAAGAGCCAGAATCGCATAGTGTTCTATCAAAGTAATGACCATTTACTTGACAGGGAATAGAGAATTGACCTGGGTCTTCAATCTTGTAGAGGGTCTTGAAGGTTGGCTGAACTTTAGCTTTCTCAAAAAGCTCTTTGATGTCCTGAATGGGTAGTCTCATGCTGGCTGGAAGAGTTTGGACAAACTGATTGAACTCAGCAAGCTTCTCTCTTGATATGGAATTGACATACCACTGGGTGGTGGTGATGATGGTGGTGATGGTGGTTGATTGACTCCATGAGGGGCAATGGGAAATCGTGCCTTCCTGAAAAGTTGGTGTATCTCTTCTTTGTTTTCACTAGTTGTGAAAAAGAACTCCACTAGACCATGTTTATCCCAAGCTTCTTCAAAAGTGACATAGAATGGAAGTGATTTCACCTTAGCATTGAACTCTTTAAGCTTCATGGGGCTTATCTTGTTGGGATCAATGGGATCATACTGCCAAGTATCTTCTTCTTCAGTAGGTGGTGATGGTCTTTGCATTGCTTCCAGTCTTGGAAGTGTAGAAGCTTGACTTCTTGGTGAGAAACGAGGGTCTCTAGGGCTTGGTGTATCCATGCTCTGTTTTGGGGAAGCATTGATGTCGATGCTCTGCTCTTCATCTTCATCATTCAATTGTTCCTCATACTCTCTTTCTTCTTCTTCATTGTCCTCATGGACTTGAGTAGTGCTTCTTCTTGTGATGGCATTGCAATAAAAGGGAGGGTGGTTGGGTGTTGGACTCCTCTCTCTCTTGTAATTGGCATGAGATGATCCTTCAAGGGCTTGTAGGCGGTTGTAGATTGATCCAAGATGTTTGCTATTGCCATAGCTAGTATCTTCAATTCTCATGCTCTTGTTCAGCAACTCTTGATATTTGGAAGCAACATCAAGCTTAACTAGGGTCAAAGATCGATCATGATCCTCTCTTAACTTCTTAATGTCTTCATCAAGCTTGATCACTTGCTTGAATAGGACTTCAGATTTGTTTCCAAGGCTCTCATGGATGAAATCGATTCTTCTCTCCATCTTCTTTGTACTCTCTTCTTGATTTCTCAAGTACTCTTGAAGCATATCTTCAATCTTGGTTTGGCGCGCAGCTTGGTAGCTCTCCCTTGGGAAAAGTGGTGTCTTGTTTATGTCTGGTGATGATGGATGGTGTTGTGAATAGCTTGGGCGTGGTGGTGGGACATAAATAGGACCTTTGCAAATCTGTGAGGAAAGCTCCTTTGTATCCATTCCAAGTCTTGAAAGCATGTTGGGCATTGAACTTAGCCCAGTCTTTGGCTTGTCCAGCTAGAGATAGTTGGAAAAGTTGTATCTTCTTGGGGTTGTCTCCAAGTCCATAGTCATGGCAAAGCTGCTCAAAGTTGCATAGATGCTCCTTTGCACACTCTGAAGTAGAATTGTAGAAAGGATTCCTCTCCACATGCTTGATTAGCTCTTCATTCAAACTTCAGGATGGGGTGGTATGCCTCCCCATTCTTCTTCATCACGCTCTCTCTCCAGCTGATGAGAGTAGTGGTGGTACTTGGATTTGAAAGGTGGTCCTTGCAAATCTCTTCAAGAAAGCTTCTCTAAAATCGATCCATGACTCGATTGTAGAGAGTGGCTCATGCTGCGCCCAATCTAGTGCTGGTCCAGCTAGTGATGTGCTGAATAGCATCATCTTCTTCTCAAAGTCAAAAACTCCATAGGAATCACAAAGATTGTCAAAGTGATCTATGTGCTCCAGCGCATACTCTGAAAACAGATCATGGAATTGATCTCTCTTCACGAACTCGATCAGCTCAGGGTTAATCTCCTCTTCTGGTGTGGCTAGAAGGTGTCTTCTTGGTGTGATGCGGCTTGGCTAGACGTCTCCAGGTCGGCTGCTTCAAGGTAAGGAAGAAGTTTCTTCTTTGTCTTCAAAGGGATGGTCTTGGAGGACTATCCCATGAAGGTGGTGGTGCTTGAGGGCTTGAACATCTCTTGTTCGCTCAAGAGGTGCTTTGAGGTGGTATGTGGCGAATTGGCATCGCCTTTATAGGGGAAGGGCTTGTGGCTCCTTCTCCATATCTAACTAGGAAAACCTGAAAAGCTAAAAACAAAAAGGAAAAACCAAATCAAAGAAAAAGGAAAAATAACAAAAAAAAAAGGAAAAGTGAAACCCTAGACTAGCTCTCTTGCAAGAACTTGTAGGTGCGAATTGGTCCCCGGCAACGGCGCCAAAAACTTGATCGCGGGATCAGGTCTTCCCCTTTCCTATCCTTCTCACCACTCCAAGAAGGCTCCCTGCCCAAGAGCCTCACAGAGCCTCTTCTTACGAGCCAAGGGAAGGAGAAGACAACACGCAGAGAAGGAGGAAGACTTCCAAGGCCAGACGCTCCAGCTCGACCACCGGACTCGATCGAGTCCAAACAGAGGAAACTCAACTCGGTCGAGCTGACCTGGAGGAGCCCCAGTTTGAGGATCCGGATTTGAGTACGATCCCAGCCTTACCAGGAGCCTCCCCGGAGTAGATGGAACCCCTATGGACAGTACGAGCTACCAATGCTCCACCAAGGCCAAGGAGCCACACACTTTGAGGAAGAGGAAGAGGAAGAGCAAGCTCGATCGAGCTGCCAGACAGTCGAGTGGAGTGCTCCTGATGGCCGTCTACCATCTCCAGACCACGACCTAGCCTCCCAGTTCTTTGGGGGGCACTGAGGTATCCAAACACCAACCCTTGTATATACCATTTCATATTTTCTTGCATTTGTTCTTGTTTTTCTTGGTTTTGCCCTCTTGAATCTTTCACTAAATTTTTCTCACACAAGGGACTGTGTGATTTAAGTTTGGGGGAGGGTTCAAGAGATGATTTAACCTTGTTTTCTTTGTTCTTAGTTTTTCATTCATCTTTTGCATAGAAAAACCAAAAAAATCATAAAATTTTCAAAAAAATCCAAAAATATTTTCATCTTTTTGCATTCATATTTGTTAGATTGTTTAGGATTGCATTTTTCACTTGCATTGTTGATTTGACTTTGAAAACTTGTTCCATCATTTGCGATTTCTTGAGTGCCCTGTTTTTAGATTCTTTTGTGCATTAGGGTGAGATTGATTGAGCAGCAAGAACCATGTTTATCTTGATCATATCACTGCATGCACATCTCATTCAACCATTGCTGTGATTTGATGCATTTCCCTATCTATTTGAACCATAACTTGATCTTTAATTACCAATGCTTGCATTTGATTTCAACTCATGGCTACCACATACATATCTGGACATTCTTTACCTTTCATATCCCTTTGCTTGTCCAGATAGCTGATCTCTATCTTTGAGACAGTTACCACACCTTAAACCTAAGCCTTTTCATTTCAAACCCCATATTATCTCTTGTGCGAATTGTGAGAACCTTTCTTGGCTTTGCTTAGCATAAGGTGTTGTGTTTAAACCGGCAGGGGCAGTAGTTCTAGTTGTCTAGTTCTCTTGGGATTGTTTTCAGGCTAAGTTTGGGGGTGCCAACTCGAGCTCGATCGAGTTGGGTGTCAAAAACCAGAAAAGTGGTAAAAGTTGGGAAAATCCAAAGGAAAAAGAGTTTAAGTCCAGGGAGTTGGCAGTGTTAAAAGGGTCTAGTAAAGGTTTGGGAAGTTAAAAAAAGGAAGTAAAAAGGGTTCTAAGTAGAATGAAAAGAAGGCAAAGCCTCAAGTGTCAAAAAGGAAAGAAAAGTTCCCTAAGTGTTTAGAAAATCCCAAACCGCTAGATGTTACCTCAAGAAGCCTCTCCCTAGGAAGTTCTTAAAAGAAAAGTGAGCAAAGCTCCTCAGTTTCAAAGGCGAAATGCCAAAAAGGGTAGTTAGGATTTTGTTCTAAAAAGCTCTAAGTGTTGAACTCGATCGAGTTAGGATTAGGCGGCTCGAGCTGCTGTTCTTGCATCATCTTTGGTTCTAACACTTAGCCTTCTGCCAAAGCAAAGCCACTTTCTTGAGAGATCCCTGTTACTAAACCACCATACAAAAGAGACCCTCTTTGTCTCTTAACCCATAAACCCTTGAAACCAAATGAGTTGATTGATCTTGCATGTTTTTGGTTCACTGTTTTTGCTTAATGAATGTTAAAGGGATTTGCTGATTTGAATGCACTTGTTTGAGTGACTGTGAAGTGGGATTGATGTTGATAAGCATGGTTAAATCTTAATGAATATCTCTCACCTTGTTGCATTCTAGAATCTCTAAGTTGGACATTTAGCAAATCGCTTTTGAGGACATGTTTTTAAGTGTTGAATCAGCTTGTTTTCAAACCTCATCTCTTTCTTGTTCTATTTGTTTGCTTGAGGGCAAGCAAAGTTCAAGTTTGGGGGTGTTGATGTACTTGCATTTTACATAGTTTTAGCACATCTTTTATGCATCTTTTGCATAGTTTTAGCTTTCATTTGCATCATATCTTGTTCCTTTTCTCTTCTTATGCATTCATGTTAGTTTTAGGTTGCATTTGCATACATATGCATGTTTGGTCCTTTGAAATAGGTCTTTTGGAGCATTCTGGAGCATATGGGACATGAAGGAGCATGGAGGGACTTGGCACATGGAAGCAGCTCAACTGGATACGCAAAGGAAGAAGGGAGAAGCCATCTTGAAGACCAGCTCGACCCTCTACTCGACCGGCCAAGCTTCAACTCGATCGAGCTGAGAAGTCAAAGTCAAACCCGAAAAATGTTGCTTCCCCCTTGACTTCCTTTGACCCTAAACCTAATCCTCTTGTATTTAAAGGCTCTAAGCCACGAAAAAACCACCAAGCTTTAGATTATTATTGTTTTAGTTCTTTTAATTTATTGTTTTCTTTAGATCTCTCTGTATTTAAGGCTCAAGTGTCCAAAAAGGAAGGAAAAGTTCCCTAAGTGTTTAGAAAATCCCAAACCGCTAGATGTTACCTCAAGAAGCCTCTCCCAAACCGCTAAACCCTTGACTTTCCTTTGACCCTAAACCTAATCCCCTTTGTATTTAAAGGCTCTTAGCCATGAAAAAACCAAAAAAGCTTTAGATTACTTTTGTTTTAGTCTCTCTTAATTTATTGTACTTTTACTTTTTAGAGATCTAATCCTATCTTTGTGTTCTTGAAGCTCTTGCTTCTTGAATCTTAGATCCTGGATAATCTCTCTTGTATTTGCACTTGCTTATTTCAATAAAAGTTGTTTAATTTCATCTCCTCTTTCTTATGATGTCTCTTTTATTGCATTTGCTTGTGTTTACATTCATGTGTAGTGAGTGGTTACCCATTGGGGTTTGAGATGGGATAGATTAGAGGTTCCATATGCTTAATCCTTCTAGCTTATGGTCTTAATCTAGATTCTCTCTCTTTTGGATAGATCTTAAGGCTACATGACCACTACCCCTGGCTTGTAAGTCCTTAGGCGACTCCCCACACGAAAGTGATGGCATTCGCTGGAAAAGATCCACACGAAAGTGATGGCATTAGCCGCCTCTAGAAAAGACCTAGCACTATATATATGGATTTTTAGCCTCTTGAGAAAGAGAGCCGCCCTTGTATTTCGATTTCCTACTCTAAGTTTTATTGCAATCATGTTTTCTTCATCTCTATGTGTGTTTGCTTTGATCATGTCTGAGTAATCCACTAGTTAGGTTGCTAGGGTTACTATTCAATGAGTTGCTTGCATGATCTTTGATTTCAATGATTAGCTAGGGATTATATTAGAGTCTTTGTCTCGTCTTGTGCACTTAACTAATGCTGATTGCTTTACCGCGCATCTAGTAATCCGATCTTAGGTTGATTTGAGCCTCGACAGTGCTGTATCATTCGCCGGACATATTCTTTGACAAGCTAGGTTTCTTAGACTGCGAAAGTTGATCTATCTATATCTAGTGAACTGTATCAGAACCTATTCATTCTAATGCTTGATCTAATCACCTAGGGACATACCAAAAGTTTAGCGACTAGGTAGATTAGCAAAGGAGCCGGAGCCTCGAAAGTGGAATGGTTTTATATTCGTGATCTGTGTTCTAGATGGTTCTTAATATCCCAATATCCCTAATCAATTAATCTATCATTGTTTCATTGATCATTGCTTGCTTCTCTGCGATAGCCCCTATGACCTAGCGCTTTTCCTTTATTGCTTACAACCTCGTTATACTTGCTAGTTCGGTTCACCATTACAACCTCAATCATACTTTTGTTTTAGCTTGATCCAAAATCCATAGTTCAAAGTGTACTCAATAGCCAGTCCTTGTGTTCGATACCCATACTTCCGCGATCTGTGCACTTGCAGAGGTCTAGGAGTTTGGTAAAACCTGACTCCGCATCAAGTTTTTGGCGCCGTTGCCGGGGACTGCAGCAGTACCTTTGGAACTCGACTAGGATCTAGTCTAGAACCTTTTCCTGTTTTACTTTTCTTTTGCTTTTGAATTTTTTTTTGATTTCTTTTCTTTGATTTTTACTTTTGTTTTTGTTTTTCCCTTTTGATTTAACTTGTTTCCAAGACTCTTTTCAGGTGCATGACTAGGAGGTCCAACAAGGACAACCTAGTTGAACATCCAGAGATAGACAAGCTTGAGAAGCAACTTAGGAAGCAGAAAGCCCAAGAGATGGCCGACGAAGCAGCTCGCGCTCACGCCGCTGAAGTGGCGCGCGCTCAAGAAGAAGGAAGAGATCCACCTCCTCCTCCTCCTAATCCCTGCTGGAGATGTGAACGCACAACCCCAAGCTGGAGCACCTACAATCGGAGACTATGACTCTGCCGATGCTTTCTTCATGGATAGAAACCCTATCCATCCACCACTTCCTGCAAGGAATGACTATGAGATCAAGCCTCAGATCATTGCATTGGTTAGACAGAACCAATTCAATGGACTTCCAGCTGAGCACCCTCTTGATCACATAGAAAACTTTGAAGAAATTTGCAGCACTACAAGATCCAATGGAGTCTCTGCTGACTACCTTAAGTGCAAGCTCTTTTCATTCTCTCTTGGCGACAAAGCTTCAAGATGGTTGAAGTCTCTGCCAGCTCACTCCATCACCACTTGGGATGAGTACAAGGCTGCATTCATCAACCACTTCTACACCAAACAGAGATCAATTTCTGTGAGAACAAGATCTCCAACTTTCGCCAAGCAACAATGAATCTTTCTATGAGGCGCTAGATCGATTCAAGGAGTACATTAGGGACTGCCCTAATCATGGTTTCAATGAGGGAAACCTATGGAACATCTTCTATCGTGGCATAGACCACAAGTACAAGCTTTCATTGGATACACTGCAAGCAATGGAAACTTCATGACCAAGACTGTTGATGAAGCTAAGGTTCTTATTGAGAATCTTGCAGCTAGTGATTGTAACAACTGTCCTGATTATGACCGCTCAAGCCGCACCACTACTAGCTCCCCTGATTCTTTTCAAATGACTGAACTCAAGAACATGATGGCTCAAGTTCTTAAGGGACAGCTCAAGCATATCAATGCAATAGAAGGGATGAGTGATGCTAATGAAGATTCATCAAGAGAATGCATGGGAGATTTCTCTAATGAAGCCAATGAAGAAGATGTGAACTACATTGGAAACTATGGGAACAAGGGATACAATCCAAGCTATCGCCCAAACCCCAACATGTCTTATAGAAACCCCAATGTGGAGAATCCTCAAGACCAAGTGTATCCTCCAAGGTATCCACAACAACAAAGACCTCCTTACCAATCTCAAGGAAGTCAATTTCAGCCAAGGCAAGGATATGAGCAGAGATCATCATATCCGCCCAAGGAGCCATATGCTTCTTCACCAAATCAAGCTCCTCCAAACCAACAAGGTGGGAGATTTGAAGGAATCCTCCAACAGATCATGGATGGCCAGAAGAGAAACACTAAAGAGATGTATGAGAAGATGGACACTTTGTTCAGCAATCTCAACACCAAGTATGATGCTGTTGCCACTCATGTGAAGAAACTAGAGACTCAAGTCACTCAAACTATGGAAGCTGTTAAGAGACAGGAAGCTGAATCCAAGAAGTCCTTTTGCAACTCAGCCGCCATAGAAGAAAGATTTGAAGACCAAGTTCCAGAATGGATGCTTTCAAAACCTACTGTTGATTGCATGATTTGGCCTGAAGAGAATTACCCAGAGAGAGAGTCCAATCGAGCTAGAAAGAGAAGACTCTTCCCAAAGATTATCCCCAAGACAGATAACTCAGGAAAGTTTGTGTGCCTTGTATCATCAAAGGTAACATTCTTGAGCAATCTTTGTGTGACACAGGAGCCAATGTGAACATCATGTCTAAGAGGATAGCTGACAAGATAGGCCTCACCAAGATAGAGCCATCATCCATCTCCATCAACTATGCTGATTCATTCTCACAAACACCCTATGGCTTTGTGCCTAATGTGATGGTGCAGATTGGAAATTGCTCTATCCCTACTGATTTCCAGATTGTGGAAATGAGAGAGAGTAGCCATAGACCTCTCATATTTGGAACCCCTTTCCTGTCTACTGTGGGTGCCATATTTGATTTCCCCAATCAAAGAATCTCTTTCAACAAGGTGAACAAGGGTATGTTCTTCCCTATGTGTTCAACAAAGAACTCTTTTGTTGACATGGTCCAAGAGGAGAAAGCTACTTTGAAGCCACCCCAAGAAGGAGAAACTGAAGAAACAATCAAGGAAGATCCCATTCCTAAGCCCAAGCAGCTTGCCAAACAAGCAAGGAGTAAGACTAAGGCCCCTACACCAAAACCGCCCAAGGGATCAACCAAGATTGAAGATGAGGCCAAGCCAAGAAGGAAGGTTAGAAAAGCCTAGGTCTGGCCGCAACATGAAGCTTCTATTCCCAAAGGAGCTTATTGATGAGAATCTAGAAGGATTCAAGGAGAGAGTGACAAGAACTCTAAAGCTTTTTCCTAAGGCAGTAGTGCCAAGGGACATTCATGGAGAGATTGTCTATCCAGCTGTGAATCACCCACCAGATACTCATTGCAAGGAGAAAAGACTTGGAGGATCAAGATGCCTCTTGTCTCCATCTTCTCCTGAGCGCCAAGCCTTACAGTCAAGCTAAAGACTTAAAACAAGCGCTGCATGGGAGGCAACCCATGAGGTACTTTTACTTTTCTTTCTTTAATTTTCTTAGTTTTTGTTTTGCTTTTGTGTTTTCTTTGTTTTAAGATAGGATAGAAGGAGAAAAAGGTGTGAAAACACAATCCGCGCCAAAACATTGGCCGCGGACGCGCAAAAGAAATTTTGGCCGAGCAAATTCCAATCTGGCCGACCGTCACGGTCGAGCCGGGAAGGAATAAGCCGTGCTCGGCCGGATCATCTACTTGCGCGACAGAAAACGTTCGAGCGCCACGCGCGAACCGGGAAAGATTCGGCCGCGATCGGCCAAACATTTTCGTATCGAACGGCCATATCGAGAGATCGCGTCCGAACGCGCAGTCCGGCTGGCCGAGGAACGAATGTTCCGCGCTCGGCCAAAACCGTGTTCGTCCGACTGAAGTCTCGGCCAAAGTCCAATACCTCGGCCGATCACACAGCACGACCCGGGAAACATACGCCCGCGGTCGGCCAAGTTCCAAACGTTCACGCCACACCGCGCACGACCAAAGCGCGCGAGCCGGGAAACAAGGCCTCGCGGCCGCGCAACCCGTTCCGCGTGCCACGGCCGATGCATCCGTCCGAGCCGGGAAAGAACGTCCCACGTCCGGCCGAGAATCCTCATCGGCCAAATCTCAATCCGCTCGACCACGCCGACCGACCGTGAATCCGTCCGACCCCGACCGTTCCGACTCGCCACGAACCCGACTGTCCGGCCGATCGTCCCGCACGACCGTCCCAACGCCGCGGTCGACCCGAAGCCCTTTTTGAAGCCCAAACTTATGTTTTCAAGCCCGGCTTAACCCTAGCCGCCTCTAGAAAAGACCTAGCACTATATATATGGATTTTTAGCCTCTTGAGAAAGAGAGCCGCCCTGTATTTCGATTTCCTACTCTAAGTTTTATTGCAATCATGTTTTCTTCATCTCTATGTGTGTTTGCTTTGATCATGTCTGAGTAATCCACTAGTTAGGTTGCTAGGGTTACTATTCAATGAGTTGCTTGCATGATCTTTGATTTCAATGATTAGCTAGGGATTATATTAGAGTCTTTGTCTCGTCTTGTGCACTTAACTAATGCTGATTGCTTTACCGCGCATCTAGTAATCCGATCTTAGGTTGATTTGAGCCTCGATAGTGCTGTATCATTCGCCGGACATATTCTTTGACAAGCTAGGTTTCTTAGACTGCGAAAGTTGATCTATCTATATCTAGTGAACTGTATCAGAACCTATTCATTCTAATGCTTGATCTAATCACCTAGGGACATACCAAAAGTTTAGCGACTAGGTAGATTAGCAAAGGAGCCGGAGCCTCGAAAGTGGAATGGTTTTATATTCGTGATCTGTGTTCTAGATGGTTCTTAATATCCCAATATCCCTAATCAATTAATCTATCATTGTTTCCTTGATCATTGCTTGCTTCTCTGCGATAGCCCCTATGACCTAGCGCTTTTCCTTTATTGCTTACAACCTCGTTATACTTGCTAGTTCGGTTCACCATTACAACCTCAAACCATACTTTTGTTTTAGCTTGATCCAAAATCCATAGTTACAAAGTGTACTCAAAATCCATAGTTACAAACTGGCTATTGATTTCACGGTCGTGGCCGGATGATTTAACGGTCGGCCGGCGTGGTTGGATGAATGAAGATTTGGCCAATGGTTTCTCGGCCGGACGTGGGACGTTCTTTCCCGGCTCGGACGAATGCATCGGCCGTGGTACGCGAAGTGGGTTGCGCGGCCGCGAGGCTTTGTTCCCCGGGTCGCGCGGCATGGTCGTGCGCAGCGTGGCATGAAACGGTTGTAGCTTGGCCGACCGCGGGCTCATGTTTCCCGGGTCGTGATATGTGATCGGCCGGTCGGTTTCGAACTTTGGCCGAGCGTGAAACAATAGTTTCTCGGCCAGCCGGTCTGTGCGGTTGGACGCTGATTCTTGATAGGCCGTTCCAGTTGCGTTGGAAAGTTAACTCAATCAGAGTAGATCTTTTTCTGGGCCCTCTTAAAGTTGGTGCTTCTGCATGGAGCGGCTTGAAGTGCAAATCCTATGGTTTTGCTCCAAAATGCATCATTTCACCTGTTTAGACTCTAGACACTATAAACACAGTAAAACTACCTTTTTAGATAGAAAACCTGCCAAAAACCATTAGAAAACAATGCTAAAACAGTATAAAAAGCATATAAAATAGAGGTATATCAGAAACTTAGGGAAATTTAGGGCTAGATTTTGATGTAAGACGAATGAATCGTAAGCAAGGATTTGGCTAAATGGAATTGTATTAAACGGATGAAAATGGTTACAATGAATTCCCAGAAGAGAGAAAGAACTAAGTTCAGAAGAAAATACAAGGTAAAATGATAGTAATTAGGTCTCAAATGATCGGAAGAAGGTCTGAAAAAAGTCCTTTGATCCGACTCCTTCCAGCTCCTTTTATAGCTCCAGAAGTAGCTACGATCCACCTCCGCGTATCTCGCCACGTGCAGCTAACGATCCCGGTGATCTCGGACCAGACCGGATTTGGAGGAGATCTTCTTTGACTTCGTCTTTCTTCGCAGTGCAGACCTGGTCTTTGATCGAGCTGGAGCTCGTCTTTACGTCAACCGGAATAGCTCGGATGGCAGTTAGCTGGCTTATGAGGGAGTCGCTTGGTGGGCTCGAGGTCTTCTTGCTGGGCTTGAGTGGGCCTGGACTTCAATCTTGGATCAAGGTAATGGGCCCTTACGGGCTAGATTCCAGGTGTGGAATTTGGGTCCAACACCGGTGGAGAAAAACTTGGCGAGAAACGCCTTCTTGCACTCATCCCAAGTGGTGATTGTGCCATGGGGCAGGCTCTTCTCCCATTGGTGAGCCTTGTCAGAAAGAGACAGAGGGAAGAGTCTCAGCTTGATGGCATCTTCAGAGACACCATTGATCTTAGTCAAGTCACATAACCTATCAAACTCATCAAGGTGATCAATGGGGTCTTCACTTGGCAACCCATGGAACATCTAGTACTGGACAAGGTTGATCATACCCAGCTTAAAACTCCTTGTATCAAGGCTTCTCTTGATATTGGGCTTCTCAATGCCTAGCCAACCCTTTCCCAAGGTGGAGGCTATCAACCAAGGAATGATCTCAGAAACAGGGGGTTAGCCAGTGAGAATCAAACCTTGGAGGCTATAGGATCATTGCCCAAACTAATCCATCCAACCCCTTAGACCTCTATGTCTAGAGCAAGAGATATTGGAGCTCTTAGTGGATCTTTTCCAGCGAATGCCATCACTTTCGTGTGGGGAGTCGCCTAAGGACTTACAAGCCAGGGGTAGTGGTCATGTAGCCTTAAGATCTATCCAAAAGAGAGAGAATCTAGATTAAGACCATAAGCTAGAAGGATTAAGCATATGAAACCTCTAATCTATCCCATCTCAAACCCCAATGGGTAACTACTCACTACACATGAATGTAAACACAAGCAAATGCAATAAAAGAGACATCATAAGAAAGAGGAGATGAAATTAAACAACTTTTATTGAAATAAGCAAGTGCAAATACAAGAGAGATTATCCAGGATCTAAGATTCAAGAAGCAAGAGCTTCAAGAACACCCTGCACAAGTTAGCAAACATGAGAGAAGGATACTTGCATTTTACATAGTTTTAGCACATCTTTTATGCATCTTTTGCATAGTTTTAGCTTCCATTTGTATCATATCTTGTTCCTTTTCTCTTCTTATGCATTCATGTTAGTTTTAGGTTGCATTTGCATACATATGCATGTTTGGTCCTTTGAAATAGGTCTTTTGGAGCATTCTGGAGCATATGGGACATAAGGAGCATGGAGGGACTTGGCGCATGGAAGCAGCTCAACTGGACACGCAAAGGAAGAAGGGAGAAGCCATCTTGAAGACCAGCTCGACCGTCCACTCGACCAACCGGTCGAGTTCCTCAACTCGACCGGCCAAGCTTCAACTCGATCGAGCTGGGGAGTCAAAGTCAAACCCGAAAAATGTTGCTTCCCCCTTGACTTTCCTTTGACCCTAAACCTAAATCCTCTTGTATTTAAAGGCTCTAAGCCACGAAAAAACGAAATTAAGCTTTAGATTATTTTGTTTTAGCTTTCTTTAATTTTTATTGTCTTTACCTTTTAGCAACCCTAATCCATCTTTGTGTTCTTGAAGCTCTTGCTTCTTGAATCTTAGATCCAGGATAATCTCTCTTGTATTTGCACTTGCTTATTTCAATAAAAGTT